CTCCCCACTCTGTCCCTGGTGAATCCTCTCACCCTCCGCATCTCTGGCCTGTATCCTAATTCTGTATGAATAAATAAATAAATCTTTAAAAAAAAAAAACAAAAAAACCTTCAATAGCCAACATTAGGAGACACAATGGTCTTTCTGCCCCTGGAATTATGGGGTTGTGTATAAAAAAATCCTTCCCCATTCCAAACATTTTTAAGCATTCAGAGAAGCTGATAAAATTGCATACTCTTTTTATTTTTTAAAGATGTGTTTGTGCATACAAGAGCTGGGGTATAGGCTAGAGGTGTGGAGGGGTGAGAGGATTCACCAGAGACAGAGAAGGGAGCAGAACAAGTCGCTTTATGGAATATACTGCTGAGAGGAGCAGCAGGTGAGAATGGAGAGGTCTGCTGTACCATGTGGGTCACGTCTCTGCCCAGGGATTGAACTTGTGCTGCAGTGGCTGTGGCTAGCTTCATAGTGCTAAGACTTACCCCCTGCACCATCAGGGAGGCCCGGGAATACCCTTGATTCTACAGGTAACATGTTAATACTTATTTCATCATGTGTCCATCACTCTCTCCCTCCCTTTATCTAGGTTTTGGATGCATTTCAGAGTAGTTGCACACAGCCCACTTCTCCCTGCCTCAACACTTCATCTTGTACCCCATTCACTGGTGTTGGTAAAGAGCTTTTAGTAGCATGAAATGGCATAACACTGAAATATTATGAAACTTTAACCTTTTGAAAATGTAAAATAACATATACTGCTTGACCTCGAACAGTTCAAAGTTTGTCAAATTTGTAAAGGAGATACACCAAAGTGTGCCAATAGGTAATGAGTGCTTTCGTGTTTTCCTGATTTTTAAACGTTTCCCTTCTTTCTTCACTCTCCAAATGGTCCTGTGTCCTTGTGGGCTGAGTGAAACAGAAATGAGGGTATGATTCCTACATGAGCTGAGCTCCTCTCTGGGCAGGTGGTTCCTGGGAGGGTGTCCTATGCACAGAGGCCCGAGGGAGTGAAGACGAAATGCCTGGTGACTCAAGAACTCATTTCTCCTGCTCCCTGTCTTCAGGCCCAACACCCCACCCTCCAAGCCTGTGGCCTTTGAGGACTTTAAGAATGAGCGAGGTAGTGAGATCAACCGCATTTTCAAAGAAAACAAATCCATCTTGAATGAGCGGAGGAAAAGGGCCAGTGAGACCACACAGCGAATTAATGCCATCAAACGGGAAATGGACGTGACCAAGGAGGCACTAAATTTCCAGAAGTCACTTCGGGAGAAACAAGGTAAATGGAATGGGAAGAGACAAGGGGACAGTGGTAGATAGTGGTAGATAGCTCCAAATGGAGTATCCTTGGGCACAGGAGGACTGAGATGAGTGGATGCTGAGGTACATCTCTCTTCCCTGGGTGATCACTTGGCTCTAGTCAGCCTTGGGGAGCCAGAGTTGTCCTCTGACAGTCAGCTTCTGCCTGTGTAATCTCAGGCTCAGATCCAAGCGTCCACCTGATATACATGTAGAAATAGGTCTTTGGCATCTTCCCCACAGAAATGGGCTGCTGGCAACAACCCCCTCCCCTCCCGGGATCTCAAGTCCTCAAAGGGTGTTCTGATTGTGCTGGGGTGTTGGTGGAGACCATGAAAAACCAAGGAGAGATGAAAATGTGGATACCACATTTCTATCACTGAGACTGTGCCTCATCCTAAACCCCTGACGCCTGTGCTAGCTGGAAAACTCTTGTTTTCAAAGCAGGTGGTGGGGAAGGCCCAGCTCAGAGAGCAGAGAGAGTGCCCACTGCTTACGCTGACCCTGTTGTACCCTTCTCCCAGTGTAGACACTGCCTATGCTTGCAGTGTTGGCCACGGACCCTCATGCTTGAACAAGCAGAGGACTCATCTGGGAGATGAGTGGGATCTGGGTACTGACTCAGATTTGGACCAGCACCCAGAGCCTGCATTTTAAAGAGTGACCATCCCAACCACGACCATCTTCCATGGATGATTTCAGCAATTACCTGGGCATCTCCAGATATCACTTGGGTTTATTTTTTCAGGTCAGGTGAATCATTCATAGGGGGTACAGTTCATTCACTTAATTCTCAGAGGGCAACTTATTTCCAAATTGTTGGGGCCACTCTGTTCATACCACAGGCCAACCATTATCCACTGACCAACTACATCAAAGGGCAGAGCCCTCCCAGCTCTGGAAAATAGGGGAAGGCTGGTGGTAGTAGCTCAGACATGCCTCTAACTATGGCCTTCAGGGGCAATATAGTGATGGTTTCACAGGACCTAACACTCATTCTTCTGCCCATAGTCTTTGAATATGCTATGCTATATTTCATTTTTACATATTTTAAAAAGTACATATGCATGCAATGTTGACATATCATTTATTCCTAAATATATCTGTAAATGGGTAGTTTTGAAGGATAAGAGGGAAATAAAAAATATTTTAAAATATTTAAAATTTTACCTGTCAATCAACTAATTTTTTTTTTCTTTTAACCCCTCTCACCTCCAAGCAGTTTTTTTCTCATTGGCTGCTAAAATGTCAAATAAAATGTATTTATCTTGAGGAAAGGATCAAGTACACTTACTCATTTTTAAAAATACCTGCTATGTTAACTGAAAACACTAATTAGCCTATAAAGGTCAGTGAATTTGGAATATTAGTGTTCCTAGGAGAAAAATGAAAGCTCATCTTAAGTTCAACTTAAATTTTTATTTCCTTGAAGATAACGAAGGGGTGGGTGACTCTGCACATCCTTCCTCTATAATCCTTGAGTAAGGGTCCTGCCTCTCCATTAATGGTGTCAGTGACATGACACGTGTCTAACTTTCTCCAGTAAACATCAGTGCAAGTGCTGACATTTCCCTCCAGCACCTGGGAGTGCCTGGTGCATACCAGCCATACACCTAGTCACAGGCAGGACTCCCTTTGCAGGACTCTTGGCATGGAAGCCCCACACCCCAGAGTGGGGAAGTTCACCGCACACCTTTGCTGAGATTTCAAGGTGCTGTGGCAGTGCGCAGGCAGCTGGGTGAGTGACTCCTCAGCCGGTAATTATGTCTTAACCCCAGAACCTGTATCAAACTGACAGACCTTAAAAAGTCTGCAAAGAGCTCAAGAATGGAGGAGATAGCTATAGCACAGCTTACTCCTGCCCTCCTGGAGCCCTGAGATAGTCAGTCAGCATGATACAGATCTCTGATCCGAACAAGAAGGCTGAAATCTTCAATAAGACAATTTGAAATGTGAATTTACATCCACTGTTATAGATTATATCACTTGCCCAAGTGACTGGTGTTACTAGCCAGTAAAAACAGTTCATGGACATAATTTACAGAAAAGGAAACATTGTAATAGAGGTTCTTCCTGGATTGAATGTCTTTAGCTGATGAGGTATAAAATCAAAATAAGCAGGGAACATGGGCCCTCTCTATCCTCTCCTCTGTCCTCCCTCCTGTTTGTCCTAAAAACATCAGGAAGGGATCTTCGATCTGAGTTCCCTCTCCATACGACAAAAGTCGGCAGGCAGCCTCCTTGTACTTTGCTCACCGCCATGCCAAGCCCAAGTCTGTCCTCTGGTCTCCAGTGTTTATGCTTTGCCATCACTCTCTCCACTATGTCTTCTCCCCTCCACCCCAGGTGAACATTTTCTAATCTCTCCACCCTGTAGGTGAGTATGAGAACAAAGGGCTGATGATCATTGATGAGGAGGAATTCCTACTGATCCTGAAGCTCAAAGATCTTAAGAAGCAGTACCGCGCTGAGTACCAAGACCTGAGAGACCTCAGGGCTGAAATCCAGTACTGTCAGCACCTGGTGGATCAGTGTCGCCACCGCCTACTCACAGGTATGCCATTTGGGAGGGCTGACTGGCCACCTCAGATCCTAGGCGGCACAGGGCAGAGTCAAATCTTGGGGTCTAGATGTGACTTCAGAATCTCTTTCTGCAGAGGCAGGGGCCAGGCTGGGGCTTCAAATATGTGGCTTCCAGGACTCTGAGGGTGGGAGGAGACAGAGACAGGGTGAGATCCTGGAGCAGGAAGTGAACAAAGCAAGTCATGGTATCAGGTACAAAACAGGCAGACAGGCACACTGTGCCCTGACCTTCTTCCTCAAGGACTCTCGCACACCTCACTGCCATCTCCCTGTCTCCTTGCAGAATTTGACATCTGGTACAATGAGTCCTTCTTCATTCCTGAGGACGTACAGGTGGCACTGAAGCCAGGTGGCAGCATCCGCCCAGGCATGGTGCCTGTTAGCAGGATCGTGTCTCTGGTGAGTGGTATAGGGCAGGAATGAGGACAGTAGGGCAGGTTAAGCATGGGAAATCAGCCAGTGACTCTTATTCTTTTCTCTCCACAAGTGTAGCAGTGTCAGGACTGCGTGCAGCCTCTCCTGGGCAGGCCTGGGCAGGTGGGCAGGTAGTTTTCTCTCTAGCTATCAAAGATGGGGACACAGAAAACATCTCTTGCTGCTACCACCCTTCTGGGGTGGCTCATCCTTTCCTAGATGGCAGTTAAAAGGCACCTGTGATGACAGTGGCAAGCACAGCGGGGCAGTTTGAGCTTCTCTGGGTGGAGATTTGCGAACCCAGTAAGTAGCTGCCTTGATGCCCACCATAGGCCCTGGCAGGCTGCATCCTGACACTGCCAAACTGAAGGGACTGTGCTGAGTTGGGCCTCTCCTAGGGAGAAGATGACCAGGACAAGTTCAGCCAGCTACAGCAGACCATGCTTCCCGAGGGCCCTGATTCTGTCTCCTTCTACAATGCCAAAGTAAAGACAGAGCAGAAGGTAATGAAGGGGTTCATGTCTCTAAGAGGACAATGCTTCAGGGACCTTATATTGGGGCGTCCAGGATCATATTCCCCACTTTAGAGAACAGAAGGAAGACTGTGCCAGCCTGGAGAGACTAAAAATCAGTGGGTGTCTTCCGCAACTCCAAGGTCCTGGTATTAGGCTTGAACCAACAGGGGTTTGTGACCACAGACCGTGGCTAGCCCTGGATATGGCTGATGAATGCTAAGCTGACCCTTGTTTGACTCACAACCCAAGATAGAGTCTGGTAATCCTCTGAGGACACTGTCCATCACAGAGGTCCTCTCCAGAGGTGCCTGGGGACAGAGGACCACATGCAGCAAAGGCAAGGCTAGATATGGAGTTGGCTGTGAGCTGGAGTGGAGGCCCAGTGTGGAGCCAAACACAGAGGACTTGCAAGTGGGGTGATTCTCTAAGTGAGCTCAATCTTTTGAAAGCATGTTTTGTGGTACTTATTTACATTTTTGTACATTTTACAGGGGATACATTGTTTAAACAGAACTTCAAAGTATAAGTACCTGCTCCCAACCCCCTCTGTGAGAACCCGTCACTTGTTTCTAGTGTTCCCCTACATATTGTCCTCCACTTCCTTTTCCCACTTAACAGTACATCCTGAAGATCGCTCCATCTCAGCCCACAGGTGCTTCTATGTTCTTTTTGACAGTTGTGTAATAGTTGGAGGATGCATCAAAATGTATTCAAGGGATAAGATGAGGGATATTTAGGAGGTTCCATTTTTTCACTATTATAAATATTTCTGTGAGAACTTGATAATTTGTGTGAATGCAAATTCACAAAGGTGAATATATGAAAGGCAAGTTTGTAGAAATTAATTTCTTGGTCAGAAGGACATCTGCAATTTTTGATGGTGCCAAATGGCCTGATTAGAGCTGGACCCCACAGCAGCATACATTGTTCCTCTATACTCTCACCCACATGTATCATTCTACTTTTATATTTTTAATCTGAAAGGTGAAAAATTGTCTCCGTGAAACTTTAAACTCAGTGCAAATTAAAGGGACTACCAGTGGAGTAAAGTTTCTTTTCAAATGTTTAAAGATATTGTAATTTATTTTCCTGTAATCTCCTCATATTCTTACCCACTCTTTATTGGTAATTGGTATTTTCTTGTTCATGTGTAGGAACTGGCTATATATTGAGGAAATCAGCACTTTATGAACTGCAAATACTTTTCCATTTTGTCATTATCCCTTTTTGGGGGGGCAATTTCTTCTTTACAGATTTATTTATTTATGCATATGCGAACTGGGGTGTAGGCCAGAGATGTGTGGAATGAGAGGATTACCAGAGACAGAATGGGGAGCAGAACAGGCAGGTCAACTGAAATACACTGCTGAGGGGAGCAGTGGGTGAAATAGGAGAGGTATGCTGAGCCATGTGGGTCACCTCTCTGGACTGGGACTGAACTCATGTTATTGTGGCTGGCGATAGCTTGATATTGCTGAGACTTTAACCAGTGTCACCAGGGAGGCCCTTTTTTGGTAATTGTCTTACTGATTTTTATGAAAGCACATTTATTTTTCTTTCCTTTTTGGTTTCTAGATTCTGTGTCATAATTAGAAATCCCTGACTGAGTTCATTCTTTACAGTTATAGTTAAGCTGACACCCTTACTAGCCATGGCAGCTGGAAGGAGCTCAACCTATGCTGTCTGAGCGTATAAGTCATCAGAAGGTCTGTTAGAAAGTAGATTCTGCAGGTGCTGCAGGTCTAGGGTGGATCCTCAGATTCTGCATTTCTGATAAGTGCTCAGATGATGTCAGTGCTGCTAATCCAGGACTACACTTTGCAAAACAGGTCCTAGCAATCAGCTGTGGGAAGAAGGCCTAGCCTTAGCTGCTCCCTAAAGTCTGCTCTTCTCCTATCTATTCTCCCTACCCTCACTCTCAATTTCTAGTTTCCACGGGTCCTTTCCAACCCAGGAACAGCTTTAATATGCTTCAAGAACTCCAATTTGATAAGGGATTAATATCCAGGCTATATAGAGAATTCCTAAAACTCAGCAATCAAAACACAAACAACCTAGGTTAAAAAAAAAAAGTGCAATGGACTTAAACATTTCTCCAAAGAAGATATACATGGGCAGTAAGCACATGAGATGATGCTCATCATCATTAGGGAAATGCCAATCAAAAACTACAGTGAAATAGCATATAGACTTATGGGTGATTACCCTGAAAAAACAAAACAAAACAAAACAAAACAAAACAAAACAGTGTAACAAGTGTAGCTGTGGATAGGCAGAAATTGGAATCCTCTGGAGTGATTGGGACCACCCCCCTCTCCCCACACTGTTGATGGGGCTGTAAAGTGGCAGCTACTAAGTGACATAACTCAGTCACAAAGAGACAAATAAATGATTCCACTTACAATAGTCAACATCGCTGACAGAAAGTAAGATGGTAGTTGTCAAGGGCTCAAGGGGGGCTAGTCAGAGCCCAAATTGTGATAATTGCAGGAAGATTGATGGACTGAATGCGTGTGGTATGGTTTCTGAGTCCTTGTTAAGTTCATGCCCTTTAACCAAACACTGTTTCTCCCCGTTTCTATGTCCAGCACAATTACTTGAAAACTATGATGGGCCTCCAGCAGTCACATAGAAAATAAGGATTTATGACCAGTGCCTTGAAGGACAAGAGCCCAGCAACACCTGCCTGCTAAACCACCTGCCCAGAGCTCCAGCAACTGTCCCAAGGCTGGGACCCAGCCAAAAGAACACACAATGGCCTGCCTGTTGGGAGGAACAGCCTTGAAAGGCATCTTTACAGAACACTTGGTTTCAATTCATTGTCTTATATGCAGGGACAGGATAAAATAACTTTCTAGTTTGGTTTAGTGCTTATCTAAGAACTTTATTTTATTTCCTGAGAGAAAATCTTCCCTATATATGGGTCAGGAGTCTCCAGTAAGAAAGTGAAAAAGTCACTCAGCCAGGCTCTTCCTAATAGGCCTTTATCCCACTAGTGAACGTGTTTCCTTTCCTGATGGACATCCTGGGGGTGAGATGGGTCTGAGGAGCCCTGGTTCTCACAGTTCCCTCAGACTGTAAGTTCTCTCTCAACATCTCTGGTTTTGAGCTGGTGAAGTCAAGAGAAGGCCCTCCTTCTTCAGTAAACAGGGGAATATAAAGTCAAGGTGGGAGACAGTTTTTTTTTTTTTTTTTTTAGGATAGAACTTTTTTTTTTTTAAAGATTTATTTATTTATTCATACAGAAC